TGTATTTGCCGTTAATTATTTTTATGGCAGGTTGTTTGACAAAAGCGGCAGAACTTTGTATTTTTGTTGCTAGCGCTGTGATGACATCAAAAATGCTCATCTTCTTGTTGCAATCGAAATTGTGCAATTTTTACAAGTGTTGCATTAATTTTCAATTTACTATTATTTATATTTTTTTTTGTTTTTATTACTGCAAGATAAAATGCTGCTGATTATTATGTTGTTAGGAATATTATAATAATTAAAATTTAACACATCACTTACATACATATGCAGTGTGTATATGTGTGAATTTCATATTCATATATAATTATATATTTGATATGATGATTGATTGTAAATTCATAAGCAGATACATTTTATGTGGCATACAGTGTTGCATGGGATAACAAAGAAGCAAATTAGCTTAAATTAGCAAAGACTACAAAATACACATATTATATGTCTGAAGTATTTCCCCAATCTTAATGACTATTCATATCCGCATTTTGCAAACAATAGTTGAAGATTTCAATCTGCAAATTTCATTCACTGCTAATGCAATTTTAATATCTCTTCATATCTTTTTTAGTTAAATAGATTCAGAATCACTTACTTAAGATACCAATTAGTACAAGATGAGAAGCGGCGCTTGTGCATATGCAGGTGTGATGTGATTATACATTCAGATCGCTCCAGAGACCCCAATTCAGAGAAAACTTTCTATTATTTAGAAAAATAATAAAGTTCTGAGTTTCAAAGCCCATATATGTTATTACTTGGACTTATCAAATTTTTTGCATGGAAAATTGCATAACAGAAACAAGGAGCCAACACAGAGACTGCATAAAAATGGGGGTAATAGCAATTAATTTCTTAAATATTTAAGGTTGCTATAATTCCGTTTGTTTGGTTCATATAACATATTGATAAGTCCAATCATGTGTTGTTTTAAATACAGTCCGCAAAACATTTGGGATTATTAAAATTCATTTCTTAAGAGTTTTGGGTTGCGACAATCCATTTAGGATAATGACTATCTATTTTTTACGAATTTACGTTTGTTATATTCCCGTTTAAGTTTAGATCTTATAAAATCTTGATTAGTCCAATTATATGTTATTTCGAATATGATCTGCAGAACAAATGAGATCATCACAATCCATTTTTTAAGGATTTCAGGTTACTAAAATACCTGTTTAAGTTTGGATCTAATAAAATATTTATTGAATTGATCATACTTACTTATCTGTAATAATAGCAACTTATTCCTATAGCATTAAAGGTTACTGTATTCCCGTTTAAATTTCATAGAGTATTGATTCGCTGTTTGAATATTGCCAAGTATCCGCCATTAGTAGTGTTTGAAAATTGTTATTATTTCTATAATTCTTTTAAAGCTATACCCATTATTCTGTTATATGCTATTATTATTTATCATTGTTCTATAATTGCAAGTGTCAATAATAGAAACCTGAACTCATCCAATGTATACTTAATTTGTGTTATTTCAATTTAATAAATAAATAAATGAATTTTGAGTTTATTGTATTTTTTTGTTAATTTTTAGAACTAACGCATAAACAACAGTTATATAAATAAAATTATATCGTTAACAATAAAATAAATATTTTTTTAAAACTAATTTATGTAAAAAATAAATATTATTTATTAGTATAAACACAATTGAAAGTAATACTATTAAGCATATCAATTTGGATAAAGTAATTTTAGGTTGTTTTGCGGCTTTTAATACTGGAAGATATAATTTAAATTGTACAAAAATAATTTTAATAATTTAATTATATATATAAACAAATTTTTTAGTTTTTGTTATTTTGTAGAGTTGTATTTCTATAAGAAAAAAAATCTATAGTCATTATCTAAAGAAGTAACGTTATGAGTTAATCGTACTGTACGAAACTAACCCCATCTACGATACTGCACAAGCTTGTGAGTTATCTTGCAAGTAGTATATCTTTAACGTTGGATAATTGTTTCGACTTTGCTGAAATACTAATTTATCCCTTTATTAGTTAATATAATTAATAATTTATATTGAATTTTTTGATGCCCTGAAGTTCGTTTGCTTCGTGCATCGATCTATTGTTGTAATTTTGTTAGTTGTTATTATTACTATTGAAAGTTGACACTCAACTCTAATCACAGCAATTAGAATTAACACAATTCCTATAGTTAAAATAACAACGATTATTTCCTTTTATTACAATAAAAGAATAAAAGTCAAAAACTAAAATATTTACAATGCAAGCTAAGTAATATAAGTAATACCAACATCGAATATAAAGAATTAATTAATGCCGCAGAAAAAAAGAAAAAGGAAAATAAATAAACTTGCGTTTATACTAAAGATATATTTATTGTAGATACTTTATATAAATTATTAAAATTATTAAATTGAAAATTCTAAGAATAAATCTATATTTAAATGAACGTTGAATGTCATAAGTATTCTTAATACTGATGCAATTCGTATTATATTCTCAACGTGTAAACTGTTCAAAAATATGGATAGATATAATTATTTAATAGATCACATTTAGAAATTTACAAATTTTAGTACTTGATAGAAATTTTGCTATACATTTCTTATTTTTTACAAAGTCAACAGAAGTGCAATTTTTGATTATTATCATAAAATTATGAATATGCAGATATATACATAGCTGGAATTTTAGGAAAGAAATTGTACTCAAAACCCTTCAGATTCTTGATTCTGATTCTTGATACTTTTATTTGTTATTTGTTTTAAATTCTTAAATCTTTCGGACCTAACGTATTAAATTAGCCATGCTGAACTATACCATAATCAAGTAATTTCGATTTGATATAGGCCTTTTCGAACTCAGTTACCACTTTATGCTAATCAAGAAAAGTAAAAGTTCACAGTTTCTGCAGAAACTGCCAAAAAATTTTGCCAAAGGGGATCGTTGGGTTAAAGTTTCAGGAAAATCATAATGTATTGTATAACTAATAGTAATTAAAATATCCAAAACTCATTTACTATTATTTAATATCACAAAAAATTTAAAATGACAAACTCATTAAAATTAAAAACAAAATATTTGATTTGTATTTTATTAAGTGTTTGAGAAATTCCGAAGAGAGCTACTTGTGGCATTAGTGGTTATGGATCAATGCCGCAAGAGAGCTACTTGCGGCATTGGTGGTTATGGTATTGATAAAGCATAAATTAACTATAGAAAGATATATAAATCGATTTTTAAGGTTACCATCATCCTTGATCCTTCATAGACAATAAAAAGAATCTATTATTTTTGCTTGAAATTTAAAGCTTATTTACATTAAGACCGAAAAGTTTTCGGAAATTCTCATTTAAAATTCGCGCGCTGTATATTTTTCGATATTTTAAGTTTATGTAGTTTGGCAGCACTGTCCTTAATTACTATGCCAAAAATGAGCGCGATCTGTCAGACAGTTCGTTTACGGCAGCTGTTGAAACCAGTTCACCTCAGTAGGGCGTTGCGAAAAAAACAATGGAAAAAAATATTGAACAAAGAGTTTGCATCAAATTTTGTGTTTCGAACGAAATTTCGTGTGCAGAATCGTTGCGAATGCTACAAAAGGCTTATGGGGAATCAGTTTTATCGAAAACTCAAGTTTATGAGTGGTACAAAGCCTTCCAGGACGGTCGTACGACCGTCGAAGACATTTCGCAACGCACTACTGAGGTGAACTGGTTTCAACAGCTGCCGTAAACGAACTGTCTGACAGATCGAGCTCATTTTTGGCATAGTAATTAAGGACAGTGCTGCCAAACTACATAAACTTAAAATATCGAAAAATATACAGCGCGCGAATTTTAAATGAGAATTTCCGAAAACTTTTCAGTCTTAATGTACTATAGCTAGAATGATCCGATTTAGGTCAAATATACGCCGTTTTATTTGATAACTAGTTGCTATTTGAAAGGTAATTTTATTATGCCTCTCACACAGAAGTCCTCGTTTCTATTGGGAAAAAACTTAGAAAGTCGATTTTCACAAACTTTTCGTGAAGAAAATTTTTGACCAGAAAAATTGTTTGCATTGGACAGAAACAAATGGTAATCACTTGGTGCCAGGACTGGACTATAAGGTGGATTCATAAGAATTTCATAAGCTATTGTCGATGTGTGTGGCCTGGCATTGTCCTGTTGGGACATAGATATAGATACATTATTAGGTATATATACTATAACTGTTATTGTATCGATGCTTTATTTGAAAGACTACTGTATTGCTCTTAAGATGAATAAAATTATGCATACACTGTAAGAAGATTCGCTTATCGAAAGTGCAGTCAAACAAAACACCTCTTGTGGTAGCTGGTTAAAGGGATACGTAACCAGTCTGTCTGGTTAAATAGATTTCAGTCCTCTCTCTTATCGCCATTGGGGGAGGACTGAGTGGTTTTGGCTCATATTTTGACAGACTTGCATGTTACTGATTAGAGCACAAATAAAAGCACAAAGTCTGAAATTATTTACTCCATTCATTTTGTTAGTGATGAAAATTGGTTTATAACTTAAGTGGTGGCAAAAATAAAAAGTGCATATTAGGCGACTCTTTCATGATTGAGTTTAATAACTAAATATAATAAAAATTTATTAAGATATCATTTACGTTTTACTTTTGATAGTAACAATACTTTTCAGTGTGAATTTTGTTCGCTTACCCTCCAACTATTAATTAATGCAGTAATTATTTGTCTATCTCATGTTTAGAACTTATAATAAAGTATTCTTATGGCTTTTCAAAGATACTCAGTAAAATTTGTTTATTCTCAAGTCAACAATTCATTTACTTTTTTATTGAAGTTTACATGACGAGCACCACCAAAACACGTAGCACACGCCACAGGTAAGTCGGTCATAAAATTCTAATTAAAATGGCGGTAAACAAGAGTAGAAATTCAATGTGCGAACGGCTACAAGCGAAAGGATATAAGCTGCATACATTTCAGTAATGTGATAGTTAGTTCTTAAACCGGACGCAGATATGCAGAGCTGCTCGAAAAATACCGCAAGGACTCCGATAAACAATAATCAAAAACGTAAAAATCATATATGGCGACGCGTTTATAAGAAATTTTTTGTATCTCATAGTTACTATGATGCCATTCAACCGGTACTCTTCTGTACGTATGTGTATGGCATAACGTCGTTTCGGGTCGCCAGAAATAAGTTCGGTACCAAATCTATCAGATCAACTTGGTTCGGCTACATAAATCCATTTCTGCGTATAGTGGGTTTCGCGTTAAGTTATGTATATGCTATATACTATAATGAATCACTTATCGGTTACTTTTCTAATTCGTATGTATCGAACTTAGGTACGAAGCTGCACTTCTTTTTTGGATTCGTAGGTGTAAGTGTCGTCTTCACATCGTCAGCCATTTATAAAAGTCAATTGTTACATACTATTGACCTCTTCACAAAAATCGATCGTCATTTCGAGCTAGTAAATACGAATTGTAATTATTCAGTGATATTATGCTGTGTACTTAGCTATATGGGAGTTATATTAAGTTTGGTGATTACTTGTATGGTATTATGCTTACGCTCACTATATCTGATGAATGTGCGACCATCACCATTTCTGCTCTATATATTCATATCGGAAATGTTTGGCATACCTTTATGGATAACATTATATTGCCTATTAATAACGTCACTAAACCGTAGAATCGATGTTTTAAATAAGGTAAGTACAGTAGTGTTATATAATTTTTAAGAAAGGTTTTAGAAGTTCAAGAATAAAATTTTTTTTAGACACTTTATACAGAATAGCAAAAAATAATTGAAAAAAATGATTTATAAAGTAATACAGCAAATACATAATTTATTATATACTGCGTATTATTATATATATTAGATGTATTATATCTCTAATTTGATTCGGACAATAGGTTTGTTTGTAATTTTAGCTGTCAATTGTTGTTGTTTTCAATGTAGAATGAAAACTTTTGACAGCTAAAATTATAAACAAAACTCTACTGTGAATCCCGTTTTAGTTACATGTTATTAAGTACGAATCCCGAGTGAGTCCCTTATTAGATGTATGTTATTTTGTACGACATTAATATGACCCAAGTATTTACTAATTGATTACTCCCATTTGTATTATGCTTATACGTATATCATATTTCATTTTGTGAGATCCCGGCATACATATATTTATTGACGTGAATTTTTGAGTTTTGTCTACATGATATAATAAACTGATTGCGTCCATTTGTCTATCTGAATATACGGGTTATATATAAAATAGACATTCAACTAGTACTGAAAAGAGAAACAGTTAACATTTTTAAGATAGAAACGTATTCTCAATTTAACATTAATTGCAAAGAAACCGTATACTAATTTTTCCGATAAGAAAGATACTTTAGATATTAATGGAATAGCATTTATAATATTAAAAATATAAATGTTTAAAGTACATAATTATTCACAATTCACAGTTCTGTTAAACAAAGGTATTTGAACAGCATACTTAACCATCATTTCCAAATATACCACCACAAGAAATTTTTTTTTTTTGTTTGCGGTGTGGAGGTGGGGAATATCTATGCAATATCTATCATGATCCACCGCTCCGGAAAGTGATTGCCCGACCACTGGCAATATAACTTAAACAAATGTGACTAAAATCACTATTATATTAATAATCATATTCGTAATAGGATTAGTTTTCAAAATTTTTTTTAAAAATTAAAACAAATGTCGATTTTATTAGAAATGATCTAGAAATTTATCAATTCATTTCCATTTTCCACGGTGGAAATGTTAGCAGCAAAAGTCAATCCAATCCAAAAGTTTGATAAGTAATCTCAGAGAGGCCAAGATATCCTATATATTCGAATTAATCCAAAAATTAGTAATTTTAAATACATTGTCATGTGTTACTTTCATTTAAGAAGTAATAATTAAATTTAACTCAAGTATTAATAATTTTAATTAAATTGAGTTAATTGATTTAAAATTAATTAGTTAAATATCAGGTATTAAGTAAAAATATAATAAATATAATAAAAATATAATAGTGTGGTTCAATGTGATGATATAACATGATATAACTTCCTGCATTTTAAAAGGTCGATATTTAATGAACCTTGTTTAGAACCCACCCCTTTATATCATGTCTTATATAAAGTATGTATATATGATGACATAGTACACTTTGGGAATCACTGTGACGATTACGGGCAATTATGATAATGATAATTTTACACGACCGTTAAATTAAATAAATGACTTCAAATCATTTAACAACAAAAACTAATGTGTTTGCATTTTAACATAAAAGTTCACACCCTACCACATGCAGGTATACACAGTCAGTACTAGATTTCAGGCATTAATATTTATGTAGTATTTATAATATGTGTAGACAAGATAAACATAATAATATTAATGACACAACTATTAAGTCCTTCGAGTATAATTTTTTTTTTTTTGCTTTTGCATTTTTATATTATAAAATATTTTTTAAAAATACTTTATTAAATTTGATTTCAACTTCAACATGACAGTAGTGACTATTTTTACTTTAATATAAACTGTGGTTTTTAATAGAGAGGTTTCCAAAAGGGTATGAGTTCAACCCTTGATACTTGCAGTCTCAAGACATTATTTACGAATAATTAAATATAAGGAAAAATTCCAACACCACTGATGATGGGTATTTGGCAATACTCGAAACAGCTGCATGGTCAGCCAAAAATTCAATTAATTAAAAATAAATAAAAATTTTTGTTGTTGCAATTTAGTACTATTCGAAACCTCTCTATTAAAAATACTTGTCTATAAAAATTTATCTAATGAATGCTCAAAAGTAAATCTGTTTTTAATCTGTGGTATAGTAAATGAATACTACTCGTAATAAATAATCCTTATTGTGTTTTTAAATACTTATTATTGTGTTTTTAAATACTTAAATCTTTGTTAATCCTTAATAATACCTTTTTTACTACTTTGATAATGAGAGATTACATGTTATTGAAATGAAATTAAAATGTTATTAAAACTGTAAACTTTGCATGTTTACATCTCCAGTTTTTGCTGTTATGGTTGGTTGGTTGGTTGCAGTGGCAGGTCGTAAGATAACTTCAAATGTACCTCAATTAGCGATTTTTCGCCGTTTTGTTACCACATTCCTCGCAAGAACCCTAGTATAGAAGAGTAGAGACTACATCCATCCCACTGAATTTATGTAATTTAATAGGTTTTTCATCTTTACCATTGAGCAGTCTGATAAACTATCACAAAAGTATTTTCCTAAGAACCTATATCTTCTGGCTGCTAGAGCTGGGCATTCACAGAGAAAATGTATTATTGTTTCTTTCTCCTGCGGGTTTTGCTGTTATACCTTTGAAGACGATCATGATAAATCGTGCCTTTAAAAGTTTCAAAGCAGGGATATAGCAGTAAATTTGCTTACTTCTAGATAGAATCTAATAGGTTAAAATGATAAAAACATCAACAAATCCAAGAGGGTGGTACTAGAATTGTCGTAAAAATCTTGAAAAATTGGCTTCAGTGTCACTTATATGTCACTTATTATATGTCACTTAGAACATTATTATACTCTGTTTATAAAATATATCGAAAAAGATAAATATAGTCGAAAATGTGTATATAAAGCAGATTGTTAAGGACACACTTTCCCGAATTTCAATTGGCCCCACCTTCATAAAACGCATCATAACTTACGATTAGATATGGGTTTGCGAGTAGCACATATAAACAGATATACTTTAAACAGACTCTTGATTATAATGTAAAAGATAAAGAAAGTATGGCTTTTGTTTTTTTTTTGGCCAGTCCTAATCTTAACATGGATCTGGAATATATGTACTGTGTCAATACTCCTCTTTGCTAAAAATTTATAGAAATTTAAAAAAAAAACGTAATTATCATAAATTTAAAATAATTTTCGAATTAAGGGATATAGATCGGTTAATGTCATAATCTTTAATTTTTTTTAATAAGCTTTATTGGAGTTTAAGTTAAGGTTTTTGTGACTTAAGTTGAGTAAAAAGCATCAAATTATTGTGCATTATATGGACTAAAACTTAATTTGTGACTTAAGTTCAAGTTGAATATGCCATTTTGGAAATACTTAGATTTGTTTAATTGAACGTTCTATTTTTGTTTATAATTCGGTTAATTTTGAAAATAAATACTAATATTTTTTTTTGTTGTGAAACAAAGAACCACATCTCATTTCTTAGTAGCAGTCCATATACCCGTTTATATGAATTAAGTTACATTTCAACAATGAAATCTTTTGTCCATTCTTTATAAATTAAAATAAAACTCAAATATTTTTTTACTAAATAAATACTGACAAAATTATTTATATATCGGACACACACGCAATATAATCCGTGAAATATTTTTAGAAGATACGAGGTCAACGGCACGAATAAATATAATTTTATTAATATACTCACCCTTAACTAGGACTTTTTTGGGTTAAGCAAATTTTTACTTCAAATGAGACTATTAAACTGTATCTAATAAACTAATATATATATTAATAAAAATTATATTTATATTTGGTTAGCCAAAAATTTAATTAATTTGTTAATAATAAAATTTATTGTTATAATTCATTGCTGTTTGATATACCTGTCCTTTAACTTCTAGGAGAAGCAAAGGGTTTCTTTGCTATGTCTGCTATATATATTGCCTTTAATAAAAGTATTATCTGAAGTGGAATATTTTTTTTATTTGAATTATATTGTAATTATATATGTTATTGTAGTTATATATTAACTTAATATTTAATTTATTTAACAACTTATTCATTTATTAACCTTTATTCATCGTGCTACTGTACTAGATTAGATTAAATTAGATTTTAAAACGAGTTGAGAACTTGTCACCACGTGACTGCATTCTTTGAGCGGGGATTAAAGTGACATTCCCACTTCAGTTCCATAGACGAGTAGCAGTTAAGCACGTCATTATGTTCTTTGGAGAGATTTTGCCTAATTCCGTTATAAGTGGATAAGCAGTGAATAAGTATCGAAGTTTGAGTCTGGCGAGACTATCACAGTGACACAGAATGTGTTCTGCTGTTTCCTCTTCTTCGCAACAAAGTCCTCAGCTACCGTCTTCAGCTACCGACATACATAAACAAACATATATATCAAAAGAGCATAACGATTCCAAGTGGTTTAAAGATATTGTATAATAATAAAAATAAATTTTTAATTTTAAACTCAATATAACGTATACTTATTAGGTAAAAATCTTTATACCATACTTTGAAGTATCTGTCAATCGATCTTCTTGTTTGTATAGTGTTAACATACGGGTATTATAAACATGAATATAGGTCATTCTTTCACAAATCGGATAGATTTTGTCAAAAAAATTCGATTTGGCTGAAGAAATGAATAGAAAACATTTTTGTGTCGTATTTTGTTAAAAATTAATTTAAAGGTACTATAGTGCGTATGAGTGACATAAAACGCGTCGGATAAATAAATTTTTTTTTGAATTTCTAAAAACTTTCTCAGCATTACGTTCCTAGATTAGGTTCTATACATAAGAAAGAACAAATCATGCCTCAAATAATGCCTCTACGAATAGAATAGTTTTGAAATTTAACAATTAAAAATAATAAAAAAATATAATTAATTAATTAATTCAATTATTCTACAGCTGGTTTATGATTTCGTTCTAATATAT